GTCCGTCACGCCGTTTACCGGGCGGCCTCGCGTGGGAGACCCATGACCAGGAGACCGCCGCGGGAAGAGGAGCGTCTGGGTGCGCCGGGCGCGAGAGGCCAAGAGAGTGCGGGAGGCGGGGTCCCGAGCCCCGCCCCCGCCACCTGGGTGAGCCCTGCCCCGTCCCCACCACCTGGGGGAGTCACGCTTCCGCCTCCTTGGCGAGGACAGGGTCGCCCGGAACCACAGCTCCCTCATTTCCTCCCTGCCTCGCGGCCCCTCGGTCGCCCCGTCCACTTCCGGCGGAGGACCCCCACCCCTCGTCCCCGCACACCTCATGCGCCCGCAGTTTTGGGCCTTCGCGGGGCTGAGCCACTTGCTGCCGGAGAATTCCCGCCGTGACCTCGCGCCGCCAGGGCCCACCTCCGGGTGGTCTCAGGGTCCGCGCCCCCGCCCCGGCCCCACCCCTCCCGCTTCCTCGTGTCCAATCCGTCGCCGAGTTCCAAGCCACGCCCTGATCCGACCCGGCTCCCACCGCCGAGACCCCAGCCCCGCCTCGGCTTCTTCGGCCCGGAGCTATCGCGCGCTGCGGCTTCCCTTGCTCCGTGGACCACTCTGGCGCCAGCTGACCGTCCGACCACACTCAGATTTCTCGAAATCCCGCCCCTGGCAGCGCTGTTCCCTACTCGGCCCACGCCTGTGGCGGCCCTGGGCTCCCACGGCCCAGAGCACACAGCCCCATTGTCCCAGTTATCTGCACTTTGTTATATTTGATTATGCAGGACCGGATCAGGGACACGGAGCTCTGGGAGGGAGGCCCCAATGTGACTCAGCCAGGTGCCCAGGCACAGCCCCTACTGCTGGTAGGTTCTCGTGGGTGTTCTGGGATGAAAGAAAGGGGGTCTGTTTTTCCTGGTCTGTAAAATGGAGCGGAAGGATTTTACCGACCTCTCCTCTGTCACTCTTCCCTAGCACTCAGGGGTATAAAGGCACTCAAGGGTATAAAGGACTCAGTTTATTCAGAGGCCACCAGACCCCAGGCACCACCAGGATGTTAAGTCTGCGTTGCTCACACCCTCCAAGAGCTGGTCACTTGGGATCAGCTAAGGAGGCAGACAGAGATGGGGAGTGGCCACAACCAAAGAAGCAAAAAGCACCTCTGTCCCAGGGATTAGAGACTAGGGTGACCTCAAGGATCCTATGACATGTTTTGACCCTGAGTGTTGACCCTGAATGACCTTTGAACCTGAGTGGCCCTGATGCTTGATATCTATTGGGGGGATCCCTGTACATTGCCCCAAAAAAAGGTTTTAGTCCTCCCCGGGGTGGTATAGTCTTTCCACATAGGAATGCTCTGGACACCGCAACACTGAACTCCTGGGGAGAAGTGAATCCATCTCTTCAGTCCTGGGCATCTTGGTCAGAGATGGTCCTCAGCTTCCTCAGTCTGAGGGTCTGGGCAGCAGGTGGCCTTGGGCACAGACTCGTACAGCTTGGAGAGTAGCCGGGCTGTCTCCTGGGTAATCTCAAAATGCTTGGGCAGTGGAGTGCGGCGCAGAGGACTGCCCTCACGGGAGGTGGCAGCAGGGCCCGGTCCTCGCCACCGCAAGCTCCCTTGGGGCACTGATGTGACAGGGGTTTCCTCGCACAATTTGGATGCTACTAGGGCCAAGCTGGACAGCTGGTGGGTGACAGGCCGCGTGCCCCCCCGGGGATACTTCACAGGCTGGCGGCTGAAGTGCCCACGGGATTGTGTCCCCAAGAATGAGTCCTTGGAGCCTTGGCTGGACGCTGTGAGATGGAGTGGTCAGTGCTGAGCACCCCTAAGTCCTCTGGATACTCCTCCCTTTCCCATTGTCATCACTCAGCCCTAGAACCCTGGGGCTACCCCCAAAACACTCACCTTCCCCTCCCTCATTTTTGGTGTCTTTGGCTACTTCCTCTCCCTGGTCATTCTGCAGGGTTGGAATCTGCAAGGAGAAACCCAAGAATGAGAAACCCGGCAATAAATTCCCAGTTCTTCCAGACTCTTGGACCTGCCAAAGTTACTTTGCAGTTCTGATATCTGGGGAGAAATGATGTCTTTAAGAGTGTATTGCTTGCCTCGCTGCGAAGAGCAGTGCCATTAATCTCAACTGTGGAGTCTGTGAGGGCAGGAATGCCTTTGTTCAGCAGAAGACCAGCCCAGAAAGTGACAGCCATCTCTGCATTCAGAACAAGTAAACTATTGGTCTCCATCCTTCTCTGCTTTCTGCAATTTTAGACTTGCTTTTTAGTTTATCTGTATATTTTTTAGTTTATCCTTTTGCTAAATGCTAATAGCACTTGGAATTCTTCCTACATGTCGTGAGCACTTTCTGAAGTATTCCAGTTCTCAGAGCCCTACACCTTGCTGGCAGCCCCCTTTCCCAGCTCTGGGGTGCTGTAGGAGAGATCCAAACTCTCAGGAATGCTGGGTGTAGCTGGATCTGAGGGACAGGAAGCCCCCCATAGGTGTCTCATCTGTAAGTGGTTTTTACTAACGGTATTTGCCTCTAATGACACTTACTGGGCAAGCACCCATGCCTTGTAGGCATGCAGCCAGTGGTGGTTGGAACACCCCTCTTTAGCCTCCCTTCCTGCCACTGTCCTGTCACTCATTCATTACAGTGTGGGGCTGTGCCCTGAACACACTAGGCATGGTCCCATCTCAGGGACTTTGTATTGGCTGTTCCCTTTGCCTGGAACACCCTTCCCCTGATCTCCACCTGGCTTACTCCCCTCTCACATCCTTCCAGTCTTTGCTCAAACCCATCTTCTCCATGAGACCCACCCACAGCATCCAATTTACTACTACAGACTGCCCTCCACCTCTTACCTTGGTGCCTTCCATGTCTCTTACCTTATGTTACCTTTTCTTTTTTCCATGGTACTCATCACCTTGTAACATCCTGTATACCTGACTTTGTATCATATTTATTGTTTATTGTTGGTTTCCTTCCCACTAGAATGTGGGCACCAAGAGGATGGGGTCTTTGAATATTTTGCTCCCTGATGTATCTGTCATGCCTAGAACAATACTTGGCATATAGTAGGTGTCCAAGGTGTTCAGTAAATATTCTGATGAAGGATTGAATGGTACCCATTAGTATCTCTGCAACGTTGTACCCAGTTATCACTCCATTATTTCCCATCACTCTGTTCCTCACCTTTCCTTTCAGAATGAGCACAGGATAAATAAGAAGAGGAAGGAGGGAATGGAATAGAAAATTTTAAAGGGAAAGGAAGGCAGACAGTAGAGTGAGAGGATTAAATGGCGAGAAGGCTCTCCCCATGTCTGTGGGCCCAGCGGGTTCTTACCTCTGGAGGCATGACTTCAGGATGCTTCTCCAGGGGACTAAGGGGCATGGGGTCTGGGTTGGGGTCCCAGGTTAGGGATGGGGGCAGGGGGTCCTGGGCAAGTTGTGGGTGTGGCAGCTGGGGACTGGGTGGGAGGATCTCAGTGGGTGGGCTGGGGTCTTGGGGCAGGGGCTCAGTGGCCAGGAGGAGCTCATCAGTCCCAAAGATCTGCTCATAGTGCACAATGAGGAACTCGATGAGCTGGGCCTGGTGCCCGGAGTCCAGCAGGCAGGTGACAGGGCCGGCAGTGGCTTCTCCTGTACCGTCCGGCGGCCGCAGCAGTGTCGGCCCAAACACGATGCCCAGGTTGTTGGCAGACATCTTGTTCTTCTTAAACTGTGCAGCCACCCTGGGGACAGTGTGAGGAGAAGGGTCGGCAGAGTGCATGGATATTAGTGATCAGGTAGGACCTACAAGCCAGGCTAGTGGCGACTTGCCCAAGTCATGAGTAAGTAGTCTCAGTCATTGTTGGCAACTAGCAGCCACATGCCTAGTGATGGGGATTGGACTCAGCACCCAAAGTCAGGAGTCATGTATTGAGTTTCAGAGCTCAGAAAACACATGCAAAAGTCAGAGGTCAGTGTCAGGCGTCAGTAGTTGCATGTCCAGGGAAGGGGGTCACAGATCCATGACTTAGGTCAGAAGTCTAATGTCAAGGTCAAGGACAGTGCACACCTGAACAGATGGGCCACCAGGTGCCGCAGGGTGTTGTAGTTAGAGTCAGGCAGCTGCACCAAGAGGGTCTTCAGCGAGCAGATAACCTCAGGGCTGGGGCTGAGGGTCCCAGGGTCTTGCCCAGGGTCTGCATGCAGGGTCTTAGCCAGAGAGATGAAGGCGTCGTAGAGGTGGAAGGGGACCACAGGGTCAGTGAGCTGGGGGTGGAATGGCAGGGGGGACAAGGGTATGGGTAGGCTGCAGAGGGTCCTCAGCCTGAGCCCACCTGGCCCCTGACTCCTGAGCCGCTGAGCACCCACCTCCTGGAGGAATCGCTTGAGAACACTCGAGACATCGTGAGGCGAGTTCCCTGACAAGTCAACCAATTCTCGGCCGTTCTCAAAAGCCTGGCATAGCCGTTCCACGCGGACCCGGGATCCGCTGACCCGATAAATGCCCTGCAGGGCAGGAGTGGGAAATGGATATCTGGCTTGCATTCCAGCCATTGAGAGGGCTGGATCACTATTGGGGATGGTCAAGGGTCAAAGGTCAAGGGTCAAGGTGGCACCTGCACACCCAGGGCACGCTGTTCTATCTCGGCCGTGCACCTGCTGATCACAAAGGGCACCTCCTCGGGGAAGTTCCTGGGCAGTTGCAGGAAGTTGACCCCAAAGAGGGGGGCCCGGGCTGGAAGCCGCTTATGTCCGCAGAAGATCAGTAGCGTCTCGAGGCAGCGCTTGTGGCAGGTCAGAAAGCACTGAGGGGAAGATCACAGGGACAGGGAGGTCATCAGGGGTCAGTGGGGGAAGAGAAGGTCATAGGGATCCGCAGCAGGAGCAGGGGGTTCATAGGACATCATCAGATCAGGGCAGATCCCAGGGGTGGGAAGGTCTTAGGGATTTCAGGTCAAGGAGGTGCCTGGATTCAGGTCACTGAGGGTCAGCAGAGGTCAACAGGTCATTGGCCCAGGCCGCACCTCCTCGCACTCGGTCCCGCTGACCATGAAAGCCTCACACTCTCGGCACTTGGCTGGGCCCCGCAGCCGCCGCAGCCGGTGGGTCTGGGCTGCGCAGGACAGTGTCCATTTCTTGAAGGGGGTGCCTGGCCCGTTGTCCAGCCCATCTCCCAGATCTGCGGGAAGACAGGGTCAGCGGTGCCTAGTCCATCCCCACTCCCCACCCCTTCACTTGCTTCCAGCCTCACCAGGGTCTCGCTCCTCAAAGTCATCAGAAGATTCGGTGCCTATGGATGCGGCTTTCACCAGCCGCCTCGTGCCAGAGCCTGGTCGGAGGGGCACAGAGCTTGAAGGTCACAGAGGCCATGGGGAGGCACCATGGCTAAAGAGACATTCCTGGTTTTTAGCCTTCCAAAACCACCCACAGATGCCTTAGGGAAAGGGTCAGAAGTCAGGAAGAGGGTCAGACAGGTCAGGGGTTAGGGGCTGGAGAATAGGTCAGCAACCTGAGGGGGGTGGTTCAGAAGTTGAATCAAGAGAATGGGTCAAGGGGAGGGTGTAGCTCGGTGGTAGAGCACGTACCTAGCAAGCACAAGGTCCTGGGTTCAATCCCTAGTACCTCCATTAAAAATAAGTAAATGAATAAAAACCCAATTACCTCCCCCCAAAAAACCAAAAATAAAACACAATAACAAACAAAAAAAGAGAATGAATCAGAGGCTGAGAAAATAGGTCAGGGGTGTGGGGAAGATCAGATGTCAAAGTCTGGGCTTGGGACTGAGAGTCAGAGCCTAGCCAGGGGCTGAAGGATGGTCAGAGGTTGGGAGTGGGTCAGGGCTAGGTCCTGGCCCCACCTGGGCTGGAAGTGGGAGAGTCCAAGGGCTGAGACTCACTGCTACCACCCACGCTGTCCACATCGCTGCCCGGAGTTCCTAGAAGGGGACAGGTCAGTTAGATACGGCCCCCTGTCCCAGCACTGCTTCCTCCTGCCCCTCACTGCACTCACCCTGCCAGCCTGTGCCAGTGTCCTCCCAAGGGCTGGGCTCAGTTGCACTCTCATCCAGCCGTGGAGGTGGGGGACCAGAGAGCTTTTTTTTTGTGTCCAGAGGGGAACTGAAAGGAGATGTTTGAGGACTCTGATAACTAGGAAACTAGGCTGGAATGACATCATCCAAGCAACCCATCGTGGACCCAACTCCAAGTACTTGGGTCTGCCAAGCCTTTACACCGATGAGCATTGCAGTCCTCAGCGCAGTAACCCCAAATTTCCAACCGTCCCAAGACTGGGACAACGCTGACCAAATAAAGAGTGCTTGGCATTAAATCCAAGTACTGAGCCTCAGGGTTCTCACTCTGAGATTCAGCCCCACAGTGCCAATAGCCTGGCACCGTGTCCCCGGGACTCCTACCTGACCCTGCTCCTGGGGACCCACCTATACATGAACTCCTGGAAAGAGAAGGCAGGTGGCGGGGGAGGCGGGGAGGCGGGCTGCAGCACCCGCACAAACTCCTGGTAACGCTGGCCGGGTTCGAAGGGTGCGCAGCACTCCGCCAGGGCGGCGAAGGCACGGGGGCCACGCTCTGCCTGAGCCCCTCTGAGCCGGAACAATCCCAGGGTCACCTGTGGGGCGGAGACCGCGTGTGAGAGGGACGGGGCCTGACCCTGACAGACACCAGCATGGTCCAGGCTTGGGGACGGGGCCCGGCAGTGGGAGGAGGCTTCGGGACAACAGCACGTAGCTGGGATCGGGGTCTGGTCACAACCCAGGTGGGGCATCCTGGAGGAGGGCAGGGTGTGCAAAACCCCATGGGAGGGGGCGGAGTGGGAGGTGCAGTCAGGGTCTGGGGGCAGGAACTGTCTAGATAGAGGGAGTTGGTCCTGGTGCCCTGGAGGCGGTTGAGGGGCACGGGGCGCCCAGCCCGGGTGAATGACTGTGGCGGCAGCCTTAGGGTTAGGATCTCACCCGCCTCAGCACTTCGTCGCCCTGCAGCACCAGCTTGCGCACATGTGACACGATCCGCTGCTTGGCGGCCTCCAGGTCCTGCTGCCGAGCATTGGCCTCCCGGACGCAGGCCTGGTACAGCGCCTCGGCCTCCTGAGCCTGGAGAAATCGAGGCCCCGTGCGAGTGTAGGGGAGAGCGTGGGGCGGGGGGCGCCGAAGCACGGGGGCGCGGGGCGCGGGGCCAAATTCCCACCTTGGCCTGGGCCTCCTCTCGCGAGCGCCGCCGCCGCTCCTGCTGCCTGTTGGGTCCCGGCGAAGCCTGGGGGCCCGAGTCTTCAGGGGATACCTGAGAGCGTACTCGCAGGTCCTCGCTGCGCTGCATGTACTGGAGCTGGGCCCGCCGCAGGGCCTGCACCGCCTCGTTCTGAGGGCCAGGAGAGACGTGGTCATTGCTTCTTCCTCTCCTCCAGCAGCCTGCCCCCCACCACCCTGGGCCTCACCATCCGCTTCTGCTCCTTCATCCACTGCTCCTTGAACTCCTTCCGCCACTTCTCAATCTCAGTCCGTTTGGCAGCCAGGGGCTGGCAGGGATGGGGAACAGGGATGCTGTCTCAGGTCCACTTGGTCTTTCGATTCACTGAGGCTGCATATCTTTCATTGTCTGGACATTTTTTCTGGTTCTGCACTCTCCCTCCCAGGTCTTCTCCCTCAGATCTGCTCTCCCTCACCCCTGTGTCTCCACAAAGAGCCTCAATGGTCACTTCATCCTTTGTGCCTGGACTCAGATGCCAAGGCTCTCTTCCTGGGAACACTCAGCGCTTTGCCCCTTGGTCCTCAGATAAACAAAAGCACAGTTTTGCAATCGCACAGGAAGCCTAGTTTGAATCTCTGCTGGGTAACCTTGGGTAAGTTCCTCAGCATCCCTGGGTCTCAGCTTCCTCATCAGCAAAATGGTGCTGATGGTAACGGTGCATCCCCCGGGGGGTAGTGGATGGAATGATGCATGGAGGGTCCCCTTACCTGATAGTAATCTCTTTTCTGCTGGGCCACTGTCTCCAGGGCCAGGGCTCCCAGGCTGAGGTCATGCTCCAGAAACAGGGCGTAGATGTACTGCAGTGGCATGTGGCTCTGGTGTGGGAGGGGGAGGGTGATGGGTGTTGGAGGATGCTGAGGCTCTGGGGGGGTCTGGCTGGGGTTCTGGAGGGCCTGGGCCCTGGGGAGGTCTGCTCATGGCTACCTGCTGGTGGATTGTCATCTTGCCAGCCTCAGCGATCTTCATGATGCTTTTGGCAAACTCCAGCTCTGGAGGCAGATAGCAGGGGTCTGAATCAGGCAGGGTGTGGACACTGCCTGCAGCCTGGGACCTGGCAGAAGGGGCCCTCACCATGGCTGGCTCTCTTCTCAGTCCAGGACAGCAGCTCCTTGGCATAGCGGCTCCAGGTCTTGGCATAGTCCAGGGCTGCATCCACGCCCCCCTTGGTCCGAATGAGCCGCAAGTCCAGTTCCTCCCCTGTGGCAGACGAATGGACCCCTGACCTCTGAACTCTCCCTTGGAAGCCTTTCCTGAGTCCTCAGACTATACTGGTGGCCCCTGTTCTACACCCTATAGCTCCCCAAACACCTCTTTGCTTTCACATGTCCAGGCTGAAATTTTACACTGATTATCCACCCATACTGGGGGCTCCCTGAGGACAGGTGTTCAGATCTGCTGTGTGCACTGCTGTCCCCAATTCACGGAACAAGTAGTTGGTGATTACTTGTTGAGGGAAGGACTCTTTTCTGCCCCTACTCCCCTGGCCTCAAAGCCTCCTACCTGTAAGGGGTGCAGGACCCTCTGGGGAGGAGACACTCCAATGGCTGGTTTCACTGGTCTAAGAGGGAGGGAGACAGTACTCAGGAACAAGCGGAGCAGGAGCCCCACCTCCGTAAATCTCCTCCTTCCAGAGGCCTCCCTCCTCCCTGCCCCCTTGGTCTTGCCCCTCACCAAAGTGGCTGTAGGGGTCTTGTCAGGTTCTGGGTCTCCTGAAAGCACAGGGTCTCCAGCCAGCATCTCAAAGGTCCTGGGAGGTAACAGTGTCAGGATGCCACCCTCCACCCAGCCTGTCTCACCTAAGGATGCTGGGGACCCCCAGGACAGTTTGGGGTTGGTCCTGAATATCACCTCTGTGACATTTAGTGTATCTGGGAGTCCTGAGGGATAAGGTTTTGGGGGAGGAAGTAGGTGATTTTTTTTAATGGGACTTGAGATAGAATTTGAAGGGTCCCAGGTAATTTTGGGGTTCATAAAGTGGGGTAAGGTTCTCAAATATTTTAAGGGGGACCACTTTGGTGATTTCTAGTGGATTTGAGGGGTTGAATTTTGGGATCATCAGGTGTTTTGGAGGGCCCTATCTTAGACTTCTTGGGTTATTAGGTAAGTGGATCCAGAAATTGCAGGTCCCTAACAGCGTTAGGGATTTTGGGGATCCTGGCAGAAAATGGGGGTGACCCAGGCTCAGACTCACACGTTCCCCAGTGAGATCTCAAGGTTGTCCAGGCTCCGGAAGATATCGCTGTACCTCTTTCTGCTCTCTGGAGCCGGGGGTAGCCCTTGGGGAGAGGAGTATCACACATGGGCCAATGGAAGCCTCCCTCCACCCACAGCAGCTTGGTTGGTTGTTTGGCGGGTGAGAGGGTGAGAGAGAGAGAGGAGGGAGAGGGAGAGAGAGAGAAAGAGAGAATTCTGGCCTGGGGAGGGGGGAGTGTGGGATGGGGTGGGTATCTGAGCTGGGACAGAGGGAGCTTGGGCTTGGGTGGGACCGACTCTGGGCAGGCAGATGAACTCAGGCACAACCCAACACAGAGACAGCTGCTCAGAGAAGCAGAGACACCACATATGCACGGGCCCAGAAGCAAAGTGACAAAACAGATGTCCCAGATACAGCCATACTGTCTCCGGGGAGAGAGCTGGCTTGACAATGGGACCACATGGACCTCGGGCTAGACAGATGGAAATGCACGTGGGACAAACCGGCAAAAGGGCCTGCGGCAGAAACACACAGGCAGACTGAAACCAGGAGAGGCATGAAGACCAGATGACACAATGTGCACAGCAGAGACACAAAGACAGGAAGAAACAAACTCGGACCTTGCCACGTTTCTGCCGCAGGCACCCCTTCTAGGGGGCCCAAATCAGCATTTCCCCCTCCCGGGGCAATGGAGGAGCCGGGTGGGGATCCTGCCGCGTTGCCCTCTCCATCAGCGGTCGTGACACCCTGCCCCCATCACAAATATCAGAAGCAGAAGCAGCCACTTCCCCTTCCTGGCCCCCCTCCCCCAGGCATCCGGGGTGAAAACTCCAAAGGGGGAGGGGGTCAGGGACTGGTGTCCCCGGCCCCTCCTCAGCTTGGGGGTCCCCACAGTGGAGGATCCCAGTGTCCTGGGAATTCAGGAACTCCTCTCCCAGCTTTTCGGACGGAGAGGGTTAGGGAGGGGGTGCTCATTGATTTAGTAAGGAGGGTATTGTCGGAGGAGGCCCCTCTCGGATCCCATAACCCGGACGGCCTACCCGGCTCCGTTGTGTCCATGGCCCGGCCTGAGGATCGCTCGGCTGGGACGGAGACTGGGATGCGATCGCGCGGGCGCCGGCGGGGCCCAGCCCCGATTTCCTGCAGCCGCCGTCGCCGCCAGCCGAGTCCCACGTCGCCCCGCCCCACATCGTGGAGGGCCCGCCCCCGACCACGCCTTTG